GCTTGTGCCTGGACTCCCCCGGCCCCCGCCCCATCTGGGACCACAGCTCCATGCAGTCGGGGCCCACGCGAGTGAGTGCTCAGAGCCTAAACGTCGCAGCTTCATGGAAAACTAGCCTCTTTGTGTGGCCAAAGCAAAGAGGTCCCCGGAGAGGAGCCGTGGGCTCCTAGACTCAAGAGGTGTCCTGGCCGGTGAGGCTCAGTTGGTGCACTGAAGGGTCTCGGGTTCGATTCCCAGTCAGGGCACATATGAAGGTTGTGGGTTCCATCCTCAGTCAGGCTCCAGCAGGAAGCCACTGATTGGTGTTTCTATTTCTCTCCCTCTCCCTTCCTTTCTCTCTAAAATCAATGAAAGCATGTCCTCGGGTGAGGATTTAAAAATAATGAGCTCAGAGCTGTCCTTGGGGCTGCTCGGCTGGGCTTGAAGAAGGGGTGTCCCCAGACTGGGGCTGTGGACCTCCTGCAGAGGGCTGCCCAGAGGTCGGGGTGTCTGTGGAGGGAAGGAATGGAGAGAGGATCAGAGAATTAGGGTGGTCTCCTTGGTGCCTCTTGCTGCCTTTATTGAGCTTCTGGGTTCACACTGCTCGTTCAACCCTTTTATTTCTTCCTCACTGCAACTCCTTTCTCTCTCCCTCTCTCCTTGTAACTTAGCCATTTTCCCCACCTGTGTCGTTTTCCCCCCTTCCCTTGAGAAGTGTGTCTGTATATATTCTCTTTCTATTTCTCCCTCCCCTCATCACCCGCCCCCTGCCCCTCCCCCAGCAAGCCAAGCCAAGCCAAGCCAAACCAAGCCAGGTTGCAGGATGGGTGAGTTACAGGAAAAGTCCAACATCACCCACGTGCTGTGCCTATAACCAGACCCACCTTACTGCCTCCCTATCATAGCACCATGCTCTCAGTTCTCATTTTTAATATTCAGTGGAAGAAGCACTTTATAGTGTCTTATTTTTAAAATATATTTTTATTGATTTTAGAGAGAAAGGGAGAGGGAGAGAGGGAGATAGAAACATCAATGATGAGAGAGAATCATTGATCGGCTGCCTCCTGCACACCCCCTACTGGGTATTGAGCTGCAACCCGGGCATGTGCCCTGATAGGGAAGCAAACCATGACCTCCAGGTTCATAGGTCAATGCTCAACCACTGAGCCACACAGGCTGGACTATTGCCTTATATTTTTTACGTGGTTCAATCCTTTGATTTTTCTCTTTGTGAGCCCCCATCCCTTTTTTGACTCCCCCCGAGTTAATGATTTCACACGCCTAAGTCATCTCCTCAAAGATGCCCTGAGCTCCTCGAGGCCTTCCTCTGAATCTAACGTCCCTGCCTCTCCTGCTGTCATCTCACACTTGGCAGCCTAAGGACAAATACATGCTCAACATATTTATTTTATGTTTATGAGGTGGGAGGGGAGGGACGAGGTCTACAGCATATACAAGGTTTTTAAACAAACTTCACAAAAAGACAGGACAGCCAGCGGCTGCGGGAGGGGCTCTGGCCTGCTGCCACCACAGGAAACTTTTTGTGTAATTAATGAGATGCTCAGCACTCCCACCTGATTACCCTGCTGCAAACAGACACATCAGGAGGTCATGTTATCGACATGGGGATAGAACTGCTTATGTTGTAAGGAGAGCCCGGGGCTCCTTTGAGTGGCGTTTTCTCAAAGGTCTGTTCACAAATCACTAAATACTTGTCTGCCAGGGCAGGCTGCTCCCAGCTACTGGTGATTAAGCAGCAACCACAAATAAAAACACAGCACAGATGAAATGACTTTTTAAAACTTCCCTCCGTGCGCTCTCTGTGTTTTCATTTAACCTAACAAGAAGCTAATCTACCAAACAGCCCGGGCCACTCTGGACACCAGCAACTCATTTCCCACTCACATTGGCTTGTTTTTAAGAGTAACATGGAGAGACTGTGCCGGACTGTGGAAGACCAGTTTAATGAAATCAAAGCCAAGGACGACCAGCAGACACAGTTAATCCACGATCTGAACATGCAGAAGGCAAGACTGCAGACCCAAAACGGTGAGCCCGGGCAGGTCGCTGCTGTGCCGCGGGCCACGGGGGAGGCAGGCGCAAGGCTGACCGGGGCCATGTCCATGTGTTAGGGGAGCTGAGCCACCAAGTGGAGGAGAAGGAGGTGCTGGTTTCACAGCTCACCAAAGGCAAGCAGGCCCTCACCCAGCAGCTGGAGGAGCTGAAGAGGCAACTGGATGAAGAAACCAAGGTAAGGACCACCGTTCCTGGGATGGCAGCGCCGGATAGCACCTGAGAGCCGGGAGGCCTCGGAGCTGGTGGGAGGCCGGGTGCTGCAGGCCTGTCCTCTGCCTGCAGTGTGACAGGAGCCGGGTCTGCGAGGTGAGGGGACCTTGGCATCGGATCTCCTTCCTCAGCCCTAGAAAACTCTTCCAGGTGCTCCATCCTCTGGGGTTCCCTGTCCCTCCAGGGCGTTCTGATGCGCTTCCCTCTCCAACTAGGGGCATCCCCTTCCAACCCTTCCCACACACACTGCCCTGGCTTGACCATCCCTGCCTTTGTGTATTTTTCACGCTGCCCAGCAATTCATCTGGCCCCTCGAGGTGGCCTCTTCTTTCTTCATCACACTTTGTGCAGTCCCTGCTGCAGTACCCAATTTTAAGCTGCCCTCCTCCGAACAGACTACATGATTGTAGAGGCTCCCCTGGGACATCTGCATAAACATGAACAGCATCATCATGTTCTTGATGCCAATATCTGGCCATTTGTGTTCATATTACAGGGTCTCCCACTGATCTGTAAACTCCTAGAGGGCAGGAATAATTCCCCACTGTAGTTGTAAACAGCAGGTACAGTGCACAGTAGGACAGAGCACACAGCAGGTGCTTCGTGAAGCTGCTCCTTAGAGTGAGAATCCAGGAGTCCACAAACGTGTGTAATTCTAATTCTGAGGGCCGCGTGCACCGGCGAAGACTTATGGAGCCATCTTTTGGCAATCTCTCACGCCCTATCTAAAAAGCAGCCAGTGCTACATTTGTCTCCGTCTTTCTGTTGTATGGAAAGGCCCCGGGAGCAGTGAGAACCGGAGCCTGATGGAGTCACGAGAAGGTCCGCTAACGGAGCGGGCTCTCCTCCAGCCAGGATACCGTAGTTGCTAAATTCTCCTCAGCAAAGTCTTGTTGTTTATTTATTTCTTTAAAGGGATGCAGATGTATAAATTGCTGCATTTGGTGGTACCACAAAGTGTTAGTGACTGGGATGGTGAGCGCTAAACCATCCGTGGTCCTGCCCAGACAGGGATGCGTGTGGAGGCCTCCGGGCATGTCCTCCTCTCAGGAGGAGGCGGCGGAGTGTGGAAATGGCACAGATCAGGTGCACGGAAGTGGGGCAGCAGCCCATGGTGGCACCGAAGATGCCTCTGGGTGTTCATGGTCGCAGGGCTCCACTGCACTGTATCGACTTTCGTTTCAATTCTTCTGATCACATGAGGACGCCGTCTCCGCTTGGGGACCATCTCTCTAGCACTTGCTGATTTACTCACCAGACCTAGGGGGCAGGCCCCGGGCACAGAGCCACCGCGGCCAAGTGCCTACCCACAGAGAAGGCGATGACGCTGCTTTGCTGCCATTGGTTGATTCTTCTGGGCACCTTCTTATCCTGGCACATATTAACGGTGTTCCATCTGCTGTAGTGCGACAGTTTACTTTTAAATCAAATATAATCAAATATAATTAAATATAACAAAGGAGTCAGCTTTCTAAAAATTAAGTACATAAAATAGGCGATGCGCTGCTACAGCCAAGCTTGGGAAGGGAGCAAGGAAACGATTGGACTTGGGAAATGCTGGTTTACGTGAAAATACCTTACCTTGGGAAATGGCCAGATATTTGTTGCCATTTGTCACCCCTGCGATTCCCCAGGCCAAGAATGCCCTGGCCCACGCCCTGCAGTCCTCCCGCCACGACTGTGACCTGCTGCGGGAACAGTATGAGGAGGAGCAGGAAGCCAAGGCCGAGCTGCAGAGGGCGCTGTCCAAGGCCAACAGCGAGGTTGCCCAGTGGAGGACCAAGTACGAGACGGACGCCATCCAGCGCACGGAGGAGCTGGAGGAGGCCAAGTACGGCCCCAGGTTACGTAGGAGAGGTGACCCCAAGGCACAGGTGACAGAACAGAGAACCAACCCTTCCTGGAGCACCCCTCCTCCCAGGCCTTGGGTTTTCTGAGCATTCACATGGGTGCTCCTGTCCCTCCTGTGGGGACCGTCCATTCCACCTAGCTCCCTGGTGCCCGCTCCGTGACCTGCGTGGCCACCAAGCTCTTTGGGGTCCTTCGGATGTTACTTAAATCCTCTCTATTCATCAAACTCTAGGTCTTGCTCTTGTCAAATTCCAGTCCCTGTAAACCAGTGGTTCTCAACCTTCTGGCCCTTTAAATACAGTTCCTCATGTTGTGACCCAACCATAAAATTATTTTCATTGCTACTTCATCACTGTAATGTTGCTACTGTTATGAATCATAATGTAAATATCTGATATGCAGGATGGTCTTAGGTGACCCCTGTGAAAGGGTTGTTCGACCGCCAAAGGGGTCGCGACCCACAGGTTCAGAACCACTGCTGTAGACAGTTTGTTTCTCATCCGATGTAGCCCTTCTGAAATAGTGCACCTTTGCCAAGGGCAAAACATGTGGTTCTCATAGGAAAAAGCTGGCCCAGAGGCTCCAGGAAGCGGAGGAAAATACGGAGGCCGTGAGCGCCAAGTGCGCGTCCCTGGAGAAAACCAAGCAGCGGCTCCAGGGCGAAGTGGACGACCTGATGCTGGGCCTGGAGCGGGCCAACGCCGCCTGCGCCACCCTGGACAAGAAGCAGAGGAACTTCGACAAGGTCCTTCCTCCCGCGTGATGGTGGCGACGATGAGAGCGAAGGCCCTCATGCCCCCGTGTGAGATGCTCACACAACCTGCCGAGCATGGAGGCCCCGTCCGGGGAGCTTGGGGATTGGCGCTGTCTCTTTACTTGGGTGACGGTCCCTCGAAAGGGAATTCTCTTCTTAGATAAAGCTAATTCTGTTTCCTTTGAGATGAAAACATCTTCAAGAACACAGTGGATCGCGCTGGGGGTATCAGAGCGTGGAGTCTCTGCTCTAGAAGGGGGTCCCTGTGTCCCTAGTCCTAAGGATGGAGGGGTAAACCGCGGTGTTGCTGACGGTCCCCCGCCCTTCCTGCTCCTTCACATGCCCTGCGTCACCCCCAGGTCCTGGCAGAGTGGAAGCAGAAGCTGGATGAGGGCCAAGCTGAGCTGGAGGCAGCTCAGAAAGAGTCCCGGTCACTGAGCACTGAAATCTTCAAGATGCGGAACGCCTACGAGGAGGTGGTGGATCAGCTGGAGACGCTGAGGCGGGAGAATAAAAATCTGCAAGGTGAGCTCTGGCCGGTGCGGCTCAGCTGGTTGTAGCATTGCCGGGTACACCACAAGGTGGCAGGTTCGATTCCCGGTCCAGGCACATACCTCGGTCATGGGTTCCATCCCCAGTTGGGGTGCATGTGGGAGGCAGCCAATCGATGTTTTTCTTTTTCTCTACAAAAAAATAAAATAAAATAAAAATTTTAAAATCTGCAAGGTGAGCTCTCTGCCCACCACAGGTGCGTAATAGTCCCCTTCTCGTCCAGCCACCCCTCCCCCATGTGCCACAGCCACCCCCGGACGCCTCCTCCCTCCCACTGCCCACCTAATCCGCACATCTGCTCAGTTTGTCATGAGGCCTGAGGCCTCCTGTGAAAGGCACAGTGTTAGAAAGTTGCATCCTCAAAACCAGGGGGCACAGTGGGGTGCTAAGGTCCCTGTGGGAGAACTTTTCCCAGATTCCATCTCCGTGTGGCATGTGGTCCTGTCCATGGCCCCCACACTTCTCCCCTCGGTCCTCTGGGCCACTGCAGAGCTTTGGGGAGTTTGGGGCCACCCACTGCTCTTTCACTCGCTCTCTGCACAGCTCAGGTGCGGCAGCCCACCCCCTCTGCTCACACCTCACCCCGAGGGCTCCGCCTGCTCTCTCTCACCTAAATGTCCTGGTGAATCGCCCGCCCTAAGCTGCCTGGCCAAGGCCTGCACTGTCCCTCGGAGCCTGTCGCGCAGCCTCAATCAGGCCTGTCCTTTGCAGAGGAGATTTCCGACCTAACCGAGCAGATGGCAGAAAATGGCAAGCACCTGCAGGAAGTGGAGAAGACCAAGAAGCAAGTGGAGCAGGAAAAGTCGGACCTCCAGGCTGCCCTGGAGGAGGTGGAGGCAAGTTCTGGGACGCAGCACACGGGAGCTCAGGAGGGCGGGCGCTGAAGGACGGGCCAGCGCACCCCTGGGGGCCCCTCCTGCAAGGAGGCCCTGGGAGACAGCTGAGCTCTGCTGCATCCTCTGGGGTCCTCCTGTCTCCCCTTTTGAAGATAAATACATTTGTTTGTTACATCCTCAATGTTTCCTCTCGGGAAGCAAGAAATCCTTTACCAAATGCCGGAAGCCGGTCCATCCTTGCTGCTTGACACAGTCGCTGCAGGAAAGAAACATTTGCACAGCATATGTTTCAAGGGACCTGGCGTATATAGCATACTGTTCTTAATATGTTTGCTCCCCTTAGCGCTATGTGTTTTAACGAAGGTCACTTCTCAGAGAAAGGTTGTTTCCCCAGGTAGGGATTTTTCCATGAAGTCAGGGAGGGGATGAAACTCCTTAACTAAGTGCCAGGCGGGTAGTTAATCACTTTAACTACGAACAATCATGCTTAAGCTA